GTACAGCACTTGGGAACCCGAGGAAAACATCCTGGATGCCCGGCTGCTCGCAGCCTTTGAGGAAAGGTACAAGGCCTTTGCTAGCTGTAGCCCTTGTGCTTGTAAATATGTTGCTGTCTTGTAGCTATGCTGAATTGAAGCTTTGGTTTTTTTAACACCTCTAGGGAGCGAGAAATGGAGCTATACGGGCCCAAAAAGCGAGGCCCCAAGCCCAAAACCTTCCTGTTAAAGGTAAGGAGGCCAGAGCCCTGTGCGAGCCGGTGCCAGCCAGGGCTGCACGCTGCGGCGGGGAGCAGGGGTCCGTCTCCGGCCCCCGTGGAGGATGCTCCTTGCAGAGGCGGCCTCCTGTCTTGTAAGTTGTAATTACGCAGCCGGATGGCAGGATAATAAAGTCACTGGTTGATTTATCTTCTTTGCAGGCCCAGGCAAAAGCAAAAGCCAAAACCTATGAATTCCGCAGTGACTCTTCCAGGGGGATCCGGGTGCCGTATCCCGGCAGGTCCCCCCAGGAGCTGGGCTCCACGTCCCGGGCTAGGGAAGGACTGAGAAACATAGCCTTGGCTCCCCAGGGCAGCTCCAGCACCGGCACCCCCAAGGGAGACAGCATCCGGGACCGCGTGATCCGCGTGGAGGAGAAACCCGGGGAGACCCCCAAAAAGAGGGGCCCAAAGCCCAGGAAGGAGCTTTACAAGGACCTGGCAGAGACTCTGGATGCCTCCAAGAGGAAACTGGGGGACCCGGGGGACAAGGTGGGGGACTACCTGAAGGCCAGGAAGATGGAGGAGGCGGCGGGGGCGGCCAAGTTCAGCTCGGGACACAGCGTCATCCAGCTGGCCAGGCGGCAGGACCCCGACCTCCCCGGCGCCCTGCCCGGCCCCAACCGAGCCGAGGTGGGTGCCAAGCTGGGAGCCGCCGAGAGCTACCCTCCCCGGCTGGCCAAGCACCGGGCAGACTTTCTGGACCCCAAGGGGCAGGGGGGGCTGGACCCTGGTGGGCCCAAGCTCCTGCATGGCGCGGTGAGCCCAGGTGCTGTGGGCAGCCTGTACCGCGACGGCGTGGGGGGCCAGGCGGGGCGGCCCTCCCTCATTGCCAGGATCCCCGTCTCCAGGATCCTGGGGGACCCCGAGGAGGAGTCCTGGAGCCCTTCTCTCAACAACCTGGAGAAGGTGGTGGTAACTGATGTGACCTCTAACTTTTTGACCGTCACCATCAAGGAGAGCAGCACGGACCAAGGATTCTTTAAAGAGAAACGATGAGTTTGTCGGAGGTGGTGCTGGGGTTTTCTTCGGTCAGATCCAGACAAAAGCTTGGTTAGAGCTTGGTGGGCCTTTTTTTTTTTCTTTCTTTTTTTTTTTTCCCTTTATTTTTTGTCCTGGAGTGGATTTAGAAACTGTCCTAAATTCATTAGCTCATTCATTTTTTTGTTTGGTTTTTTTTTTCCCCTCCACGTCTTACATTTCGTTGGAAAGATTATCTCTAGAGTTATATTTTCTATTAGATGTAAATATGTTATTTAAGAAAAAATGCTTATATATATCTATATATATATATTTCAACTCTGAGTTGTTTTATTTAAATGGAGACAACAGTGACTGCTCAGTTGCTCTTAGAAAGGACAATAAAACTGAGAACTAACGGAGTTCACGCATCTGTTGCAGGAGCCGGTGTACATAATGAACGATGTTCATAGCTAATTATGTTCTGGGTTTTTTTAACTATTATTTTTCATATGATGCTATGGATGGTGGAGGGGGAAGTGTTAACTCCCTTGGAGGGCGAAGTGCCCTGATTTCTTGATTGTGATATAAGGTGTTGCTTGTACAATCAAGTGTGCTGTATCCAGAACTGTTGCCCTTGACAGTTGAAGTAAGCACTTGAATTTACAGTATTGTTGGGGAGGGGGCGTTTCCAGTCTAACAAAAAAAATAATGTTGCTACAAAGTCGGGGCGGGGAAAAGCAGAAATCCATAAAAAGGCTAAAACTGTTCTAGCGGAGTATTAACTTGAATTACCTTTTCTTGTGGAGGAAGAGGAGGTTTGCGTGTGTAAGGTTCCTGAGAGGGGTGATACTGAAATGCACTTTAATAGAGTTGTCGTAGCAGTTGTGGGAGATGGGACTGAGCTGAGAATCTGTTTTCATTTTGTCTGGTCGCTTGATTCTGTTCCCCCACCCACTAAAAAAAAAAAAAAAAAAAAAAAGAAAAAAAAAAAAACACCCCAAAAAAAAACCCCTCTGTTTACATTCCTGAAATGCCAGAGAGGTTTGGGAGGGTAGCATGTCACTGCCCATATTTAGATGCTTTATACTGCTATAGAAAGTGGATTATTATTTTTTTTTTTTCCCCCCAAACACAGTTCACTTCAGACTGTTGGAAGACTCCAGATAAAGTGTTTTGTAATATCCACATCTCTGACAAATCCCAGAGCCACCTTTATGCATTCAGAGACAATAAATATTTCCCTTTTCTTATGCTAGTTAAACAATAGCCAAGAGGCGAAATATTCCTGTGCGAGAGCAGCCCTGCTGACTCGGGTGGCTTTTTGTGGTTTATTTGCCTGTGTTATTTCTCCTGGCTGAGGAGGACCCTGCCGTTTTTCTCCCTGGGCTGGGGCAGGGCACAGCCGTGGGGTTTCATGGCTCCGAGTGAAGTGCAGCAGTTTCCCCGCTGGGTTGAGTAGCGGCTGAGGGGGAGGTGGATGGGGGGCTGCAGCCCCTGGCTTGCTTGCTCCTTCTCCCACAGCTGGGTTGCAGCCTGACCCAGGTGGGGAACGGGACCTTCACCTGTGCTGTGATTTCGGTTGAGGTGGAGCAGGTGTTCCCATCCTGACGCGTTGGTCTGAGCATCTCTCTGGGTTGGAAAGCACAAATCCGTCTGGCAGCACCCGAGGACTGGGGCTGGGCCAGGTCACCCTTGTTCCTCCTCGCTGCCTGCCCCAGCTGAGCTCCTGAAGGCTCCCGGTTTGGGGGGCTGTACAGGGGGTGATGGCACAGGGGGTCTGATGGGGAGGGGAAAGGGGCTGGGGAAAGGTGCAGCCCTGTGCTGTTGGGCCCATCAGTGGTTCCACCTCGCTCGGTCCCCTTCCCCATCCGTTTCTGGGACCTCTGTGAAATGGCCTAGCAGGAGGGTGCTGTATTGACTGTAGAAAGGGACCCATGTCTGTGAGTTCTGGTTTAATATTTTTTGGGGTGTTGTTTTTTTTTTTTTTTTAGTTTTTCTTCTTTTTTTAAGGCATATTTTGTAAAATTGAGATTTTTAACTTGGTTTGTACGAAGAACCGCTGTGCTGGTTTCAGTGCTGGTGCCAGGGGCAGCTGACACGGGACACGTGTGTTGTTGGAGGGGTGATGATGGGATTGAGCTGCCCGTCCTCCCGCTGCTGCCGTGCCAAGCCTGGGGGATGTCTCCCTTTGCGAAAGAGCCTGGAGCCACGCTCCTGTCCCGCCAGGATGCGGTTGGGATTTGGTGTGCTTCGCTCCAGCCCTGCCTATGTGTGTGCGTCCCGACGCACACATATATGGAGCAAAACATACATGTGGGTGTATATGTGTGTATGTATATAGCGACGTATATACTGAGTGTGTGTGCGTGGGGGTGTGTGTGTGTGAATTATTTAAATCTAAGACTTGTACAAAAACGATTTGGCTAAATCTCAGTCTCAGAAGTGAAGCTTAACTACGTGTCTTCTGCCAGCCGTGAATGTCCATATGAGACCTGCTTTTTATGTGAGTTTAAATATATACTTTGTAAATAGAAACGTGTCTGTCTTCCCTTTGTGGCCCTGGGGCGAAGGGGGGGGTGTGTGGGCGTGGGGCCGGGGGCTGCCGGGAGCACCGTGGGGTGGGC